GTTAGCTTGGCGTGGCCAAGGAGCGCAGATGGCGGAATGGCGAAGCAAAACGCATGCTATCATGACTGCAAAGCTGATCGACCAGATAGATCCCCACAAAACTAAGAGAAAGCATACAGTGCTGTACACCTCAGCGTCCACGCAAGAGTGGACAAGGGAGCTCGAGCTTACGTTCGGTCTCCTAAGAATGGCCCTGAACTTTGTCGCAAGACGGCTGACAATGAATATTGATGACAATATTGTTATACAAGACCTTATGATTCAAGATTAACCTATCGGGTACAAATGCAATGCGCCTTGACCGATCGGTGAGACGAGTACTCGTACTCGATTGCGCTGGGGGCCTCAGGCGCCAGTCCTGCTCGGAAGCGAGGGGCGACCACGCCCCAGGCGGGTTGCGATCGTTGATGGCGATCGCCCCCCCCCCCCCCCCTCGATGGAGCGCGGCCGCGTGCCCACCCCCCTCTCCCCGATTTTCCGATACTTCCTTCGCCGAACGCAGAACCACAGACAGCACTACCAACGGATGCCCGGATCGAGCAAAAGGAAAAGCAGAAGGCTGACCAAGAAGCCAGCATCAAACCACGCAATATACTCAAAGTAGTCGAAGACGGCAGCGACGATTGCGGTGAAGGCCTGAAAGGTCCCGGGTGCGGTGCCTACTACACCGACGTTCCTCGACGCCGACGCCGACGTTGACGGCGATGAAGGGGGCCTTCATCGCACTGCCAGCGGGGTCATCTGCGGATGCACATGCCGATGTGTTTTCCATATTCCCAACCCTGTGTTACGGACGTTATAACGAGGTAGGCATGCTGGAACTATGCGGTGGCAGGGGGGAATATCGCAGTTAGCTTTCAGCCGAGGTTTATCCTCGGAAGGAGCATCAAAAACGTTCATATGTTGACCTTGGAAACACGGGTGTCCATGACGCCGTGATGCGCTACTTGGATGTGTTCTTCGTTAACGTTGTTCTATTGTAAACTAACTGCAGTTCGACTGGACTACAGTCTTATTTCAATTCTGAAGTCAACTACGATACGTGGCATGAGCACCATTATCCCTGTGCGACTCTACCTAGGAGCTGGAACCCTTAGGAAAGCAGCATTAGTAGTAACAGTGACGCTAAGTTAAAGCTAAGCTGAAGCTAAACTGAAGCCAAAGCTAAGCTAAAGCTAAGCTAAAGCTAAGCTAAAGCTAGGCTAAAGCTAAGCTAAAGCTAAGCTAAAGCTGAGCAGCAGCTAAGCTAAAGCTAAGCTACATCTAAGCTAAAACTGAGCTAAAGCTAAGCTAAAGCTAAGCTTACGCTAAGCTAAAGCTAAGCTGCAGCTAAGCTAAATCTAAGTTAAAGCTAAGCTAAAGCTAAGCTAAAGCTAAGTTAAAGCTAAGCTAAAGCTAAGCTAAGCTAAACGCCAAGCGAAAAGCTAAGCGGAACGCTAAGCTAAAGCTGAGCTAAAGCTAAGCTAAGCTAAACGCTAAGCGAAACGCTAAGCGGAACGCGAAGCTAAAGCTAAACTACAGCTAAGCTAAATCCAAGCTAAATCCAAGCTGAAGCTAAAGCTAAAAGCTAAAACTAAAAGCTAAAGCTAAAGCTAAAGCTAAAGCTAAAGCTAAAGCTAGAGCTCCCAGGGGACTGGGGGGAACCGCGGGGCGGGGACTGGGGGAACCGCCCGGGGCGCTTTACGCTGCCCGGCCCCTTTAAGCTAAGAGAGGAAGAACCCTTCTAGGCAGAGCCTAGGTAGGGAATAAGGAAAACCTCTCACATATCAATTCTTTACGCTTCGCGTATCCCCACCAGCCCATCTCACAGCAGCAACTCTTGCGAAGCATGCCGACAGTCGTGTTTTTTCAGGCGTGTGTCCGCTTGGCCCCGCACATCTCCCCTGTTCCTCCTTCCTCCCGCCTCCTTGTACATCCTCCTTGTGGGGGGAGCGAGAGAAGGACGAGGCGGAGGAGGAGGGAGAGAAAACGCTCCTCGTGGTTTGAGTCGTTTGGGGTTTCTCGTCCTGGTGTGAGTCGTTCGGGCCCTTCTTCCTGGTGTGAGTCGTTCGGGCTCTTCGTGGTGTGAGTCGTTCGGGCTCTTCGTCCTGGTGTGAGTCGTTCGGGCTTCTCGTGGTGTGAGTTGTTCGGGCCCCTCGTCCTGGTGTGAGTCGTTCGGGCCCCTCCTCCTGGTGTGACTCGTTCGGGCTCCTCGTGGTGTGAGTCGTTCGGGGCCCGCGTCGTGGTGTGAGTCGTTCGGGCTCCTCGTGGTGTGAGTCGTTCGGGCGCCTCGTCCTGGTGTGAGTCGTTCGGGCCCCTCCTTGTGGTGTGAGTCGTTCGGGCTATTCGTGGTGTGAGTCGTTCGGGCCCCTCGTCCTGGTGTGAGTCGTTCGGGCTCCTCGTGGCAGAGCCTAGTAGGGAATAAGGAAAACCTCTCACATATCAACTATTGTGGATGGGTCGCCGCACGTCAAAACGACCTCCTGCGGTTTTATTTGCGAGAACAACCGGTGGGTACTTGGGTGGACGAAACACCGCCATGGACCATTTGCCAAACGCGAGGACCCCCGCGGGGTATTAATATGTGAACCTACTGAGATAATGGCGAACCACCGTCTCCTATGTACACCCTTCGAGAGGAAACTGCGCGCGGGCCATCATCAACATGCCTCGGTTTGTAACAAGGAATTGGCCAGCGCAGCCCAATGCACTTCGAAAATGCAGTCCTTATGCGACGCAGTGCAAATTGCACGCGGCATGTTCCGAGTGAGCAGTGACCATGTCGATGGTCACCCCCGCTCATCTTCCGTTTTCGTCACCAACATACGCGGATTCGACTTTGATGACCCAATTATCAGTCGACGCCCCGACGGTTCGATCATGAGACCACCCTCAGGAGGATGGGGGTCTCCAGCATGTGCGGACAACGTCAACATGAATCCCCCTTCATGACAGGAACCCCAAACGCTGTGGGGTAGGTGGTGCGATAGTGAGGCTCACCACTGGGAGTGCCCAAGCTGCAAGAAGAACTACGGTCCGGCTGAATCTGGGTACTTACGCCTGGCCAATGCAAGTTTGCCAAACCGTGGAAGCTGCCCGACGACCGCGGACAGGGGCCTCCTGCTCCTGCCGAACCGACAGCACCACCACTTGCGTCGGCAGCCGCACCCGAGGCACCAGCCGCCGCACAACTTGCGCGGCTACGAGCGCCGAGGCCTGGCTCCAGAGCTGGGCCGACAGCAGGTGCCAGCAGCCGCGACGTTACAGTAGGCGGACATGCTGCGGACATGGCCGCGGGGCAACCAGCTTCGAGTTGAGGCGGCAGCTCTGGCGATCACATGCGACTGCCGCAGATCATAATCAGACGGGGTCGGCAGCAAGGAGGAGGTCCACCGCCGCCGTTTGCGGGTGACCCTGCTGTTCGCCAGCGATTCCCAGACTGGTCAAGATTCGATGTGCATATTAGTCTACAGAACCTATGTAGCCTTGGCCCAAACGTGCCAACACACGAGTAGCGGAAACTACACTTACGGTGGGCCCACGCCAAAGAGCCCAAGATGCGACTCATCTTAACCGAGGCTGGTCTGGACAACGTCAGGCATAACTTGGTCAAGGGTGTCTGTGACACATGTCGGGGGCGCATGGCTTGGGAGAAGCCAGGGCATGCCGTTATGCCATCCATTGCGCTACCTGGCAGGTTCAATGACGAAGTTGAATGCGACCTCATTTGCTATAGACAAGAACGCAATCTATGTCATATAATTGTTCGTTGCATTCGATATTCCCTTGGAATTGAGGAAACATATAAAACGATGACCAGCATCTTCGATGCGTATCATCGGTGCCGGATGCACCTCGGACCTGCCAAAGCACTCGGCTCCGACGGGGAGGGTGCTCTTTACAACGACGCCGGAATGGTAGTCTTTAAGGCAAAGGGCACTGCATTGAGGACATGCGCGCGTGGACAATGCATTACGACAATTCAAGCCATACGCGACAGGCTACGACATTTTTTCACGTCATGGAGGCTGAACCCAACAGGTTAGACATACGTCTTTTGTTCACGACTACTGCATGAAGCCTTCTTTGCCGCCAGTGCGCTCACCTTTTACAGTGCGGTTTCTCCATGGATCGCCTCATTTGGACGGCAACCAACGATGCTACCCGACCTGCCTGTTCTTGGCCACGAACAGCAGACAAACATCCGATCACTTTCGACTTTCCGCGAGGCATGCATTGAAGCTATCACGCAAGCCGCTGCAGTAGCCAAAACCAAGTGCACTACGGACCAAGACCCACGATCACTGGTCAGCACTGCTCTGACGAAGGAGATTCGGTTGACTATCATCGTCCCACGACTACAAAGGATGATCGGGGAGGCTGGAACGGCCTTTCCCTGGTCGTACGAAACGACCCTGGCACGGGGTCGAGTTTTTATCCGAGTGGGAAACCGCGATGTGCAAGTCCAAACGACGACGCACGACTTTCACCATACATCAAAGTCTTGATAGCCCGAGAAATTGGCTCAGACGGCGCTGGGCTACGGACGGTGTCGACATTTATAGCCAGTCTACCTGCGGGGCGACCTGCTATAACATCTGGCTACATCCCGACCAAAAGGGATCGCTTGAGATGACAAGTGCGAGCCCATTTTCTCCCAAGGGGTTCTTAGCTCTCCAATGCCCCAGCCGGAACTTCTTTCGTATCGAAAACGTCGTTTCCGTCAGGTTAGCTAAGAGTATTCATGAGCCACTGCCTCTAGGCCCGAAATGGGGTTCGAATAGATGGGGTCAGAAGACCGCGCTGCGTCGCCGGTGCATCGGCGATGCGGCTCGATCGGGGGCCCGATTTTCTCTGCGTCGATGGCACCGATGCATCGCCGATGTCGCCGAGGCATCGCCAATGCAACGGCCATGCATCGCCGATGCATCGGCGATGCGGCGCGATCTTCCGACCCCATCTACTCGGACCTCATCTAGGAGGCCTCTGGTCCCTTCCCCCCTCTGTCGCTCCCCCTCGAGGTGCAGCACGACCAGATCCTGATCTCTTGGGAGCTGCCGCAGAGGGAGCCCCCGCTGCCGCCAGCCGCCGCGGAGCAGCTTGGCCTTGTCGGCTTTCGGGGGCCTCAAAGCTGTGTGGTGACCACACCGCGTGATGAGTCGGTGGGGAGCTTATGGATAGCAAGTCACGGAAGCTTCTGCTCGTCTTGTATTGCGCGTGTATCGTCGAGTCGCGCCAAATAGTGGCGCCGAACAGTGCTTCAAATAGTGCCGAAACGGCGCCCAAAAACGCCCGATGGCGCCATGTGAGGGAGAGATGCGTTACGTCCGCTTCGCGCGCCATTGAGCACCATGGGGACGACCAAAAGCTTCCGTGAGCTGCAAGGGATTCGAGGTTGCCGCACAGTTTCGGGACTCGGACCTTTCTCCGAGGGCGTCTCAAGCGACCGGGTCCTCCAGGGTCCCGAAACCGCGCGGGGACGGACCGTGTGGTGATCGGGGGCGGGAGGAGAGGGGGGGGCTGGAGGTTTTTCGAGGAGCTCCGAGGGGGAGGGTCTGGGAGGAAGGTGAGGGGTGGGAGGGGTCGGGCGAGTTCTGGAAAAGCTCCGAGGGTCGGGGGCCCTTTGAAGGGTGTGAGGAGGGGGGAGGGCCGGAAGGTGTGAGGGGGGGGGGGCAGAAGGTTTGCGAGAGAGTCCGAGCGGCAGGGAGGGGCCAGGACGGCTGCGGAGGGGTGGGACCCCTGAGGCTCTCTCGAGGAGCTGTCGCTGCAGGGCTTCTCCGTGCGCTGCGCCGCGTGGGCCTCGTGGACGCGGCTCAGCTGGCGCGAGCCCTGCTACACGGAGGTGGACGCCCTGCAGTCCGCCGGGGATGCCGGCCGCGGGCTGAAGGAAACGATGCCGATCGATGCCGCTGGGTGCCCTTTCCCCAGGGGCACTCGTCACAATGGCTAGATTCATAGCGGGCTCCTGGTCAGAAGGAGCCCCCAGAACTGCCGACGTGATTTTTTCATAGCGTTGACTCCCGCCCAGGCACGTTTGGATTCGCTATCGGGCGCCCATCGCCGATCCGTCGGCGATGTATCGTCGATTCCAGGTCGATGTTCTCCGGGCACACCAAATAGCCACAACAGCAACTAAGTGGATTTTTCGGGAGGGCCTCTCGGGGGAGAACCCACCGACCTCGACATGACCCCTTCGGTTGTGGTTGTGGTCGATTTGGCCGTCCTGAGACGCCACATCGACCACAACCAGTGTTCCGACAATTTTTGGCATGCGCAGGACGTTCACCAGAGTGCGTCTTTGATGTGGTTGTGGTCGCTTGCTGTCTCCGCATGTTCCCAGACCAACGACGCCGTTTTTCCCACAACGTCAACCGCCAGAGGTCACGACCCCATCCCTGGGACCAGTTTTTCAACCCAAGTAGTTTTTGCGACGGCCCCGAGGCTTGGTAAGGGCCCCGGGAGGCAGATCATTGCACAAGTCTTTCCGCCTTGAATTGTTCACGACGCGAGGGGCTTGGGCCTGGCAGAGGTATTTTGTCGTTCCCCCAGGCCGCGTCCATTTCGCGCTGCTCGACCTGGAGGCGGCAAGCCAGTACGTGGCCGAGGTGCGGACCCACGGCGGCGGCGGACACACATGTATCTATGACGCTACCGTGGGGGCCCTGGGGAGCCCGTCAGCGGCTAGCGTAGTACTCCAGGGTCAAGGTGAGGTCTCCACCCCTTGCGCTCAGGGGGTCAACGTTAGATCTCGCCTGCTCAAGACCCGGTTTTTCATCTTCAGCCGTCTTCTGACTACCCTGGGGCCCCGTAAACAGTAAGGGTATGGAGGTCGAAAATGGCAGAGAATTACTCGCGTGATTACCTAACAGCTTTTGCTGATAGGTTTCTAGTGGGGTTCAAAAGAGAGCATCTTGAGGCCCCAGGGGGGTCTGGGCGGGATCCGGGCAAAACCGGACAAGACCGGCAGCCCCAGGAATCTTTAGGAATCGTTGCGAATTCTTAGGAATCTTTAGGAATCCATTCCCAGAACACCGTTCCCAGGCCACATTTTGAATGCCCGGAGCCATCTGTAGGCAACTTCGTGCCCTTGGTGTTCCCAGAACACCATTCCCAGGCCACATTTTGAATGCCCGGAGCCAACTGTAGGCCACTTCGTGTCCTTCGTGTTCCCAGAACACCATTCCCAGGCCACACGTTGAATGCCCGGAGCCAACTGTAGGCCACTTCGTGCCCTTCGTGTTCCCAGAACACCATTCCCAGTCCACATTGTGAATGCCCGTAGCCAACTGTAGGCCACTTCGTGCCCTTCGTGTTCCCAGAACACCATTCCTGCACCATATTTTGATTACCCAGAGCCAACTGTGGGCCACTTCGTGACCTTCGTGTTCCCAGAACACCAGTCCTGTGTCATATTTTGAATGCCCGAGCTGCGGCAGGCTGAGGCCGAGGCAGGCTGAGGCTGAGGCAGGCTGAGGCTGAGGCTGAGGCACGCCGAGGCAGGCTGAGGCTGAGGCTGAGGCAGGCTAAGGCTGAGGCAGGCTGAGGCTGAGGCTGACGCAGGCTGAGGCCGAGGCAGGCTGAGGCTGAGGCTGAGGCAGGCTGAGGCTGAGGCAGGCTGGCTGAGGCTGAGGCTGAGGCTGAGGCTGAGGCTGAGGCTGAGGCTGAGGCTGACGCTGAGGCTGAAGCAGGCTGAGGCTGAGGCTGAGGCAGGCTGAGGCTGAGGCTGAGGGCAGGCTGAGGCTGAGGCTGAGGCTCAGGCTGAGGCTGAGGCTGAGGCTGCTGAGGCTGAGGCTGAGGCAGGCTGAGGCTGAGGCTGATGCAGGCTGAGGCTGAGGCAGGCTGAGGCTGAGGCTGAGGCTGAGGCAGGCTGAGGCTGAGGCTGAGGCCGAGGCTGGCTGAGGCTGAGGCTGAAGGCTGAGGCTGAGGCTGAGGCTGAGGCAGGCTGAGGCTGAGGCTGAGGCAGGCTGAGGCTGAGGCAGGCTGAGGCTGAGGCCGAGGCAGGCTCAGGCCGAGACAGGCTGAGGCTGACTGAGGCTGAGGCTGAGGATGAGGCCGAGGCAGGCCGAAGCTGAGACAAGGTGAGGCTGAATGGGGGGGGAAGGGGGGGGGAGGAGGGGAGGCTGAGGCAGGCTGAGGCCGAGGCAGGCTGAGGCCGAGGCAGGCTGAGGCTGAGGCTGAGGCAAGCCGAGGCAGGCTGAGGCTGAGGCTGAGGCTGAGGCTGAGGCAGGCTGAGGCTGAGGCAGGCTGAGGCTGAGGCTGACGCAGGCTGAGGCCGAGGCAGGCTGAGGCTGAGGCTGAGGCAGGCTGAGGCTGAGGCCGAGGCAGGCTGAGGCTGAGGCTGAGGCTGAGGTGAGCCGAGGCAGGCTAAGGCGGAGGCTGAATCTGAGGCAGGCCGAGGCATCCGTAGGAATCCATAGGAATCCTTAGGAATCCTTAGGAATGCGTAGGCATCCTGAGGAATCCGTAGGCATAGTTAAGCATCCTCAGGAATCATTGGGAATCCTTAGGATTCCCTGGGAATCCTTAGGAATCCATAGGAACCCCTAGGAATCAGGATTCCGGAGGATTCCTAAGGTTTCCTGAGGATTCCTATGGATTCCTAAGGATGCCTAAGGATGCCTTAGGAACCCCTTAGGAATCCTTAGGAGTGCACTGGATCATAAGGCCGTTGCCACTGCGACTGTCATTGCGAATGCGACTGCGACTGCGGGAATGCTTCCAGATATGCTTATACACATCGCTGTTAGGTTGCTTTGCCGGGATAATTTTTTCACGACTCGAGGGGTCTGGGTTCCCTCCGTTAGGGGCAACATTAGGGGGGGGGATAGGCCTTTATCGTTTCCCCTCATCACTCCGTCGTTCTTGCCCGAAGGCCCTCATGTCTGAAAGAGCGCGCTTGTGGCGCACTTCTCACTAAAAGTGGGCCCTAGCTTCAAGCTACCCCCCCTCCCTTGTAAAAGGGAGGGGGGGCTTCCGAAGCTACCCTCCCCTTCCCTTTCTTTTTTGTGGGCATTTCTAGCTGGGGGGGCCCTAGCTAAAGGGGGTGGGCTTGGAAGCATTCCCCCCCTCCCCTCCTTTCCGGACCAAAGGATAGCCCGGGCTTCCCGTTCAAGGGGGAGGGGGGCTTCGGAAGCTCCCCCCACCTTCCTTTTCGCAGCTGAGATTGGTTTGCCACTGGGGGGGCTTCAAATCTATCCCCCCCTTCCTTTTCCGGAGCCCAAAGGCAGCCCGGGCTTACCTTTCAAAGGGGGGGGCTTCGGAAGCTCCCCCCCTCCCCCTTCGCAGCTGAGTTTGCTTTGCCAAGGGGGCGGGGGCTTGAAAGCTACCCCCCTCCTCCCTCGTTGTCCAGAGCCCAAGGTTAATCCGGGCTTCCCTTTCAAAGGGGGGGGCGTCGGAAGCTACCCCCCACCTGCTTTTCGCAGCTGAGATCGGCGATAGTTGGTTTTGGATGCCTCTTTTAATCCCAACCGTCCTGTGGTGTTGGGTCCTCGTTTTGAAGAGACCGCGCCCCGCGTCTCCTTCCTTCCTTCATTCCTTCCTTCCTTCCTTCCCCCTCCTCCCCACCCCCCCTCCACCTGCCCGCATGCGGTTCCTCCACCCAGGGCAGCGTTTCGTAGCCCCATAGGGAACTCCACCGAAGGTCCCAGTGGGGGTGCCCGCATGCGGTTCCCCCACCCAGGGCAGCGTTTCGCAGCCTCATAGGGAGCTCCACCGAAGGCCCCAGTGGAGGTGCCCGCATGCGGTTCCCCCACCCAGGGCAGCGTTTCGTGGCCCCATGGGGAGCTCCACCGAAGCCCCCAGTGCGGGTGCCCGCATGCGGTTCCCCCACCCAGGGCAGCGTTTCGTAGCCCCATAGGGAGCTCCACCGAAGGCCCCAGTGGGGGTGCCCGCATGCGGTTCCCCCACCCAGGGCAGCGTTTCGTGGCCCCATGGGGAGCTCCACCGAAGGCCCCAGTGGGGGTGCCCGCATGCGGTTCCCCCACCCAGGGCAGCGTTTCGTGGCCCCATAGGGAGCTCCACCGTAGGCCCCAGTGGGGGTGCCCGCATGCGGTTCCCCCACCCAGGGCAGCGTTTCGTGGCCCCATAGGGAGCTCCACCGAAGGCCCCAGTGGGGGTGCGCATGCGGTTCCCCCACCCAGGGCAGCGTTTCGTGGCCCCATAGGGAGCTCCACCGAAGGCCCCCGCATGCGGTTCCCCCACCCAGGGCAGCGTTTCGTAGCCCCATAGGGAGCTCCACCGAAGGCCCCAGTGGGGGTGCCCGCATGCGGTTCCCCCACCCAGGGCAGCGTTTCGTGGCCCCATAGGGAGCTCCACCGAAGGCCCCAGTGGGGGTGCCCGCATGCGGTTCCCCCACCCAGGGCAGCGTTTCGTAGCCCCATAGGGAGCTCCACCGAAGGCCCCAGTGGGGGTGCCCGCATGCGGTTCCCCCACCCAGGGCAGCGTTTCGTGGCCCCATGGGAGCTCCACCGAAGCTCCCAGTGGGGGTGCCCGCATGCGGTTCCCCCACCCAGGGCAGCGTTTCGTGGCCCCATCGGGAGCTCCACCGAAGGCCCCAGTGGGGGTGTTCGCATGCGTCTCCCCTACCCAGAGGTAGCGCCACCGAACACGATATCCATATTTGCGGTATTCACATTTGCATGTGGTTGGGTCCTTCGCCAGGCTAAGTTTCGATGCGTGCTTGTTTTTCCCCAACCAACCTGTGTTGTTGGGTCATCGTTTTGAAGAGACGGCCCCCGCGTCCTTCCTTCTCCTCCTCCCGCTGCCCCCTCCTCCCTCCTCCCTCCTCCCACCATCATCATCGTCGTCATCAGCATCGTCGTCATCACCAATTTCGGCACACCCCTCACAGGTTTCGTGGTCCCATAGGGAGCTCCGCCGAAGGTCCCAGTGGGTGCGCCCGCATGCGTCCCGCACACCCATGTCGGCACACCCCTCACACGTTTCGTGGCCCCATAGGGAGCTCCACCGAAGGTCCCAGTGGGTGTGCCCGCATGCGTCCCGCACACCCATTTCGGCACACCCCTCACACGTTTCGTGGTCCCGTAGGGAGCTCCACCGAAGGTCCCAGTGGGTGTGCCCGCATGCGTCCCGCACACCCATGTCGGCACACCCCTCACACGTTTCGTGGCTCCATGAGGAGCTCCACCCAAGGTCCGAGTGGGTGTGCCCGCATGCGTCCCGCACACCCAGTTCGGCACACCCCTCACACGTTTCGTGGCCCCATAGAGAGTCCCACTGAAGGTCCCAGTGGGTGTGCCCGCATGCGTCCCGCACACCCATGTCGGCACACCCTCACACGTTTCGTGGCCCCATAGGGAGCTTCACCGAAGGTCCCAGTGGGTGTGCCCGCATGCGTCCCGCACACCCATTTCGGCACACCCCTCACACGTTTCGTGGCCCCATAGGGAGCTCCACCGAAGGAATGGTCCCATGTCGGATGCCCGCATGCCCGCATGCGTCTCGCACACCCATTTCGGCACACCCCTCACACGTTTCGTGGCCCCATAGGGAGCTCCGCCGAAGGCCCCAGTGGGTGCGCCCGCATGCGTCCCGCACACCCATTTCGGCACACCCTTCGCACGTTTCGTGGCCCCATAGGGAGCTC